TCATTAATTAGTTCTAGAAGTTTTCTGGTGGAGTTTTTTGGATCCTCCAAGTATAGAATCATGTCATCAGCAAATAATGATAGTTTGAATTCTTCTTTTCCTATCTGTATCCCTTTAATTTCTTTCATCTAATTGCTCTGGCTAGAGTTTCAAAGAACTATACTGAATTTGGTTCCTGTACTCATTGAAGAGACCCAGAATAGCCAAAGTTCAGGAATTTGGTTCCTGAACTCATTGAAGAGACCTAGAATAGCCAAAGCCATCCTTAGCAAGAAGAGTGGAGCAGGAGGCATCACAATACCAGACCTTAAACTACACTGCAAAGCTATAGTAACAAAAATGGCATGGTATTGGCACCAAAATAGACATGTAGACCCATGGTACAGAATAGAAGACACAGAGACAAACCCACATAAATACAGTTATCTCATACTAGACAAAGGCACCAAAAACATACAGTAGAGAAAAGATAGCCTCTTCAACAAATGGTGCTGGGGAACTGTAAATCCATTTGCAGCAAAATGAAAATAAACCCCTATCTCTCACCATCCACTAAACTCAACTCAAAGTGGACCTAGGAATTAGTCCAGAGACCCTGCACCTAATAGAAGAAAAAGTAGGCCCAAATCTTCATCATGTCGGATTAGGCCCTGACTTCCTTTAACAAGACTTGCAAAGTGCAAGAAATAAAATCAAGAATTAATAAATGGGATGGACTCAAACTAAAAAGCTTCTCCTCCGCAAAAGAAATAATCAATTAAGTGAACAGACAGCCTATATTTTGGGAGCAAATTTTGCCACATACATGTCAGATAGAGCACTAATCTCCAGAAAATATAAAGAACTCAAAAAACTTAACACCAGAAATACAAACATCTAATCGATAAATGGGCTAAGGAGCAGAACAGTCACTTCTCAGAAGATGTACATTTGATCAACAAATATATGAAAAAATGTTCAACATCTCTAGTAATTAGAGAAACACAAATCAAAACTACCCTAAGATTTTATCTCACACCAGTCAGAATGGCAGTGATCAAGAATACAGACAACAATAAATGTTGGTGAGGATGTGGAGGAAAAGGCACATTCATATGTTGCTGGGGGGAATGCAAATTGGTGCAACCAATCTGGAAAGCAGTATGGAGATTCCTTAGAAAATTGGAATGGAACCACCATTTGACCTTCTATCTCACTCCTCAGTCTATACCCAAAGGACTTAAAATCTGCATACTATAGTAACACAATGTTCACAGCAGCTCAATTCACAATAGGTGAACTGTGGGAGCAATCTAGATGCCCTTCAATAGATGAATGGATAAAGAAAATGTGGCATATAAACACAATGGAATATTACTCAGCATTAAAAGAGAATAAAATTATGGCATTAGCAGGCAAATGGATGGAGTTAGACAACATCATGCTAAGCAAAGTAAGCCAATCCCAAAAAACTAAAGGCCAGTTGTTCTCTCTGATAAGTGGATGCTGATTCATAATGAGGAAGGGGGAGGCATAGGAAAAATGGAGGAACTTTGATTGGGCAAAGGGGAGGGAGGGTACATGGGGGCAGGAAAGATGATAGAATGAGATGGACATCATTACCCTAGCATGTATGACTGCACGTAGGGTGTGAGGCTACATCATGTACAACCAGAGAAATTGGACTTGTGCTGCAATTGTGTGCAAATGAATCAAAATACATTCTGCTGTCATATATGCCTAATTAAAAAATTAGTTACTTAATTTTAAAAAATGAAGCTAATGGAAAAGAACAGGGTATATGGGAACCCAGTAGTGAAATAGGTGCCCAAGAGATCATAGATGTCTCAGTCTATTGGATTATTTTGCCAGAATTGCCTAACAGATGTGCTAGCCTTCATGGCTGTCACAAAAATACATGACATAAACAACTAAAGGAGGAAAGATTTATTTGTGCTCATGGTTTCAGAGAATTCAACCTATAGTCAGCCAGCTCCATTGCTCTGGGCCTGAGATGAGGAAGAACATCATGCAGAAGGGTATAACAGAGGAAAGCAGGTCAGCTCATGGCTGGTAGGAAGTGGCAGGGGTGGGCAGAAGGGCTTAGGACAAGAAATAGTCCCCAAAGATATACCCCCAAGGATCTACTCCTTTAAATTAGATCACATCTCTTACAGTTTCACCACCTTGCAATAGTCCACTTAAACTATGAAGCCATTGATTAACTATGATCAATCCATTGATGAGGTCAGAGTTCTTGTGATACAAGCCCACTTTCTCAACTTTGCACTACTGGAGACCAATCTTTTCCTACATGAACATTTTGAGGGACATTCCAGATCCAATCCATAATAGAAGGGGGATCACACAACAGAAACTTACCATCTCACAGTTCTGGAAACTAGGAGTCCAAGATCAAGTTGTTGGCAGGATTGGTCTCTTATGAGTCTTGTGAGGGGAAAATCTGATGCAGGCCTTTCCCTGGGTTTACAGACAGCCACTTTCATGTTCACACAGTGTTTTCCCTGAACATGTCTGTATCCAAATCTCCTTTGGATCTCACTTTAACTTGATTACTTCTTTAAAATCCCCATCTCCAAATAAGTACATGACTATAAGGTTCTCATGGTGAGGACTTCAACATATATATTGTAGGTGACACAATTCAATCCGTTTCTGACAGGGAAAACTGGAGCTCATTGTTTTGTTCTATTTCATATTTGGGAATTTTTTTTAATTTAGGAAAATTTTCAATATCTTCCTTCAGAACTTGACAGGGCTTTAGGGTGACTATTTAAGTATTAAATACTACATAGAGGGATAAAGAGAGACACACCAGTCACGTGTACTTTTGGGTCACAAGGATATTACTAGACAGCCAGCTGCCCCTGTATTAATTAAGCTGTATACTGGTACTGGAAGCTTTTTAAGCTTCCTTATACATCTCTTTGGTCCTACATGATTAACAAACAATTTCTTCCACAATGTTCCATAGAACTTGCTAGAGTTCATGTCTACTTCTGTATTCTAGTAGTTTCATATTGGTTTTGCTGAATACAATAATTTATTACCTTCTTTATAAAGCCTGGGTAAATGTCCTTTCTTAGCACAGAGAGAAATGAATCTGTCTGAAAAATCTAAAATACAGAGAAAGAATTTTACCTTTAAAAATTTTTTAAAGAACATAATAAAACCACAATCTAATCTTTGAATTGGTATTTCTCTTAAGAAATACCAAGCATTTCTTGAGACAGCAAGTAGGTGTGAAAATAAAAATTTTAGACAGAAGGCCTCACATGACATCTTTCATCATTTTCAGAGATAAGAACTGACAGGACAGAAAAGTGAAGTATCCTGACTCCCAATCCAATATTCTTTTACTAGGCATTTTGACTTTCTTTAAATCATCAGACTTCTGCTTTAAATACCACCTACAGTCAGGACATGAGAGCATAGAGAAGATCACCTGTACCTGGAACTGTTGAGGCCACGTGTGTTTCTGAATTCAAAAAGTTTTTGAATTTTAGGAAGACAGTTTGAAGTTCATATTACACATCCCGTCACACCTCCAGGAAGACAGGGGCAGCACTCTCTATTCAAACACATTAGTATTTTTGAAGCAAAGTGTGTGACTGTTTGCATTATAGGCAATAAATAAGTTCATACATAGTTTCATATCACTTTATCCATCAGATTTTGCTCCCAAAATGTACTGTGAAGAACTTCCACTTTTTTTCAGAGTGTTCAGTAGTCCTTAATTTCAGGATGTGGATAAAATATTGCTGGCTCTCCTTCCCCTGAAAGCAGCATTTTCAAGCTTGGTTTTGCAGAAGAAACCACTTGGTGTGCCTGAGCCCAGAAGCACTGAATCAGATTTTTGGAGGTGTGGCTTGGAGATAAGACTTTCTGAAAACCAATCCAAATGATTCTGATGCCAACTGCTGGGGAAACACTTCAAGAAACGCTACTTAGAGCCGGCATCAAAGCCTGGGAAACAGGTGGGAACCTCGTTGGGCTATTTTAATGACATGCCTTTCCCACCATCTCCCTTTGACATCGGTTTGACCCCACAGGCAAGTTTCAGAGAATTTTTCCATGACATTTAATGGGAGTGGGTGTTCAAAGGACATGAATATGCAAATGATCAAAAAGACAGGAGAGAAAAGCAAAGCAGGGTAAGGAATGGAGAATTGCTCTTCTAATCTCACACCACAGTCTAGACATCAAATCATGTCACATGTATTCATTTACTATTTATTGATTTGTCCTATGGGTCAGACATTGGACAGGTACTTGGACAAGAATAGAATAGTTAATATACCAAGTAATCTTCTCTTTCTCCATCACCTCCTTCTCCTTCTTCTTTCTTATTCTCCACCTTTTCCCTTTCACTTCTTCTTGTGTTTTTTGTTTGTTTGCTTGTATTTTTGGGGGGGTGGGGGGGTGGGCATCAGCCATGGAAGCATATTGAGTGCTTCCAAGCTATAGCTCCACCTGCTGGAATATAAGAAAATTCACCAGTGTCCCCCTGTTCCTTAATACAGATGATTCTTTATGTATGTTAAATCATAATTCACCATTTGACCACGTCAGCTGTGCTAATGGGAGTTGGGTAGGTAAGCATATGAGAGAATTATCTATGTAGCCTCATGCAAGAGCATTAAACTAATCTACATGGCTGAGGAGGCTTTAGTTCTAAATAGGTTAACACCCTGAGAAATTTCCCTAATATAGCTTGTACCTGCTGGAGATGAGCTGACCTTCCTTGTAAGAGCCCTCCCTTGAGCCTGGGCTCCTGAGAAATGTGGTTATCACTGCCTCTGGCATCTTGGAAGTAGGTAATGAGCAAAGCATGAGAACTTGGAAGACCACCAGGACCTCTTCGGTGGGCCTGCTGGGGTTACCATTCTGTATGAGCATCCTGAAATTGTTTGGCTCACCATTCATTTACACAGTCCTCCATCTCCCTAGCCCCAGGCCTTTTCCCTTCAGCACCCCCCTTGCACCCTAAACTCACTCACCAAAGTGAGGCTCCCAGGCCTCTTCTTCTGGGCTCCTTTCCCATGTTTCCCTCTTGATGGGTTTGCATATGGAGACTGGGATATCTCTGCAAAGGCTTCCACATTGGTGTCTCTGTTTGAAGCTCTCTCAATCCATCTGTTGTTAGGTACATATCTCTGTGAGCAGGAGCAGAGGTGAGAAGTTGGAGGTTATGTTTAGATAAATCAGTGTTCATATGCAGGAACATAACAGATGCTATTTTAAGACTGGCTGGCTTTTAGGGAAATGGAGGTTTTGAACAAGTGGCAGAGGGGGAAGAAGGGTGAAGAGGACAGAATGAACATTTGTGGGAGAGGAATGAATACGACCCATGGGGAGGCCTTTGAGAAAAATGGAACAGAGAAAGCCCTACATGAGCAGGGACTTCCATCTATTTTGTTCTCTGGAGTCTCCTCCATGGTTTGAATAGTGGGGCCTGATGCTCAGCAAGCACTCAGTGTTTGTCAAATCAATGAATGTCATGGTAGCGACAACTATTACATGAAATAGTACCCTGTAAGCATTTAGAAGTTTGTAAGTTACAGGATGTTTAGGAGCATCTGTGGTGCCAGAGTAGGAAGGGGAATAGTCTGAGGTGGAAGAGGCTGTTGCAGACTGCAAGGAGCAGGTGCTCTGTGCCGCAGACTGCAGGACTCCTAAACTCTACCAGTGATCACATCTCAGCTCTTCACTAACTGGCTGAACTGGGACAAGTTTCTCTGCTCATATCTCTGGATGCTTCTCTGCCTACCCTTCAAATATTAAAGTTCTTCAGGGTTCAGGCCAGATATGCCTTCTCTTCTATTTTCTCCACAGGTCAAAAGTTCTAAGCACTATGTATCTGCAAACAATCCCGTATACCCACCACCTGCCAGACTTCTCATCCAGATGCACGCATGCAGTCCTGTAACTGACCTCTTCATTTTAATGCCTGCCCATCTTTGCATATCCCATTTCCCTTTCTCAAAACCTGTTGCTACTCTAGTCCCCCTAACTTGACTATTGGCCATGGATTCATCCAGTTGTTTAAATGAGAAGCCTTGTTCTGGATCCCCTCTGCTCTCCCTTTCCTCCGCACCCATCAGCCAGCCGAGGGCTCTACCTAAACAAGTACCTGCTCTGTTCTCCGTGTCCATCTCCGTTTGCTCCTTTGGTCCAAGCCTTGTCATCTGCCTTGACTGCCACATTGGCTGCCCATCTAGTCTCCCAACTTTGTCTCTGACACCCTTAGAAGCCTCTCACCACCTAAAGCCAGAAGAATATTACAAGTTTTAATTTTGATCAGTCACTACTCAACTTTCACTCTGCTTAACCTTCCCATCATATGAGAACAAACTCCAAGTTTCCAGAGTGCACAGGATTCCTCATGCTGGGGGCTGCTCCCACCTCCCTCTCCCCTGCTTTCTCCAGCCACTGCCTAAGTCTCCCAGGAAGGTCAGCTGGGCTCCTTCCTATCTAGAGGCCTTGGCCCCACCCCTGCAGCCCTCTCCAGGCTTTCTTTAATCATTCTATACATACTAGATTAACCCACCTATTACTCCATCGTGACTCTACTGTTTACTTCATAGGACTCATCACAATCCAAGATTATAATTATTATTATTTGTGTGTAGGGGGGAAGTGCTGGGGATTGAACCCAGGGGGCCTTGTGCATGGGAGGCAAGCACTCTACCAGCTGAGCTATATCCCCAGTCTGAGATTATTTTATTTGTTGACTTGGTTTTCCCTACTACAGTGTAAATTTCACAACAGCGAGGGCTCTGTCTTATGCACTAGTGAGTCTCAAGGTTCTCTCCCGAGTGTCTGGCAGAGATGAGGCACTCTGTAAACAAGTATTGAATGGTATGAACCTCTATAAGCCTCATTTTAAAGTTTCGTGTCCTAAAGATAAAAATACAGTCTACTTCACAGAATAGCTGTGAGGATTAAATAAGAAAATGTTAGGAGTTCAATAAATGTTAGCCACTATTATTATTACTAATTCCAATACCATATGTTTATTATCAGCTCTTGGGTACTGTAATATCATCATTCTTTCCAGCAGCAAGTATTAGTTAAAATTTACTATAATTCACAGACAAGGAAACAAAGATAAGGAATAGAAATAGCTCACTCAAGATCACATAGAACACATTTGAGCTTGAATTCTGAAAGTAGAGTTGCAAATAAATACAGATCTTAGGCCTGGATGATTGGAGGAAAAGTGTTACCAAGGACATAAACAAGGGTTTTAGACAGAAGTGTCTCCCAGAAAGAGAACTTGTGCTGTGCTGACTGGTTGCCCAGGGAACTACTGAAGATGCAGAACTTTTACTCAGGTGACAGGTCAGGAGTTGGAGACTTGAGCATTAAAAACAATAACTACTCAGTTGTGACTGTAATGCCATCCATGGATACATGGATATCTGTGCAGATAGAGTCTGTTGGCAGAAACACACCCATACTCCTTCGGACTGAAAGATTCTGCATGTTTCTCCTATGGGCCTCCCCTCTTCTTGTCCATTCGACCTCCCCATCCCATGGGCCTTTCCTTTATTCTTTTTTATTCCTAGACCCTTCTCCACAACATCCCATTTTGGAAGCTCCTTATGAGGTTCTTAAAAAGGTAATTAACTGCAGGACATGAAAGCTGGTTGTAAAACCAGGCTCAGGTATTGTGAATTTTTCAGAATAGAACAAAAAAAATGCTAAAATCTGTATAACACTTATAGGCCAGGCACAGTTCTAAATACGTTACACATATTAACTAATGTGTTTCTCTACTTTACAGTGGAAATTGAGACACAGAGTAACTAATAAACTTATCTAATGTCACAAAACTATGTTGTGCTATGGTTGGCTGACAAACAAATGGAGAAGATTTGGGGCGGGGGGGAAATGAGAGGGAAGACCTGTACAGACATTTTATCAGAGAACAGAACATTCACAACTGAGATCCCAAGTGGGAAATAATCCCCTGAGATCTATAACCCTTAGGTTTGATAAACACAATTATTATTGCTAGTCAAATACTCAAAATTCAAGTGCCATGTTAGCTCTAAAGTTTGGTGAAGTTTGGCAAAATGAGCAGTAAACAAAAGTTCTCAGGCCAGTCTGTAGACAGTTTTGCCAATAGCCAGTATGAGATTTTGGTCAAGTCCCCCTATAATCTCTAGGGCTGCTTACTCATTTATTAGAAAGAGGCTTGAAGACTTTTACACTTGAATTGCCATACTGGCTTAGTAGGCTGAGTAGCTGCAGACACTATCTGTCTATGAAAATATTCTTCTGTAAGCATGAGTTCTTTCGTGTTACTTCCCCACCTCAAAACTTGTTTCTGAAACCTTCTTTCACTGCCATGTTCCCATCCTCCAAATCTCTGTGACAATCTTGATATTAGAAATAGCCATCTTTGGGGGGAAAAACCTCAAGTTTCTCATTTGTTTTCTAGTATTAAACTAGCAAAAGAATTTACTGGTAATCCGCTTAGAGAGATGGAGCCTTATTAAAATCGGAAACAAGTGGCTCATGGGAAAGCTTTGGTGCACTTAAGCATAACTCTTTATTTGTGTCAGCCAAGGGTTGTACTGACTTATATTGTCATGCCTTTTAACCAACTTAAAGTATCACATCATCATTACAAGTTTCACAATGTGTATCCCAGAGTTGTCTTCTTCCTTTTCTTCTTCTGAAAAGATGGGTTTAAGGTGAAATTTCAACCTGCAAAGTGAGCAGGCTCAGTTAGCACGCTGCCAGCTAACCTACTCGTTTCATTTTAAACGAAACTAACTTTTGCTCTTAATTCTCTCTCCTGATCTCCTCTCCCCTACTTCAGCCTGCTTCCTGGAAAAAATGCCATTGAGGTCAGAGTTCTCAGGTACAATATGAGATGGTTTTTATCTTCCAGATCAGGTGACGGAGCATTTGGAACTGCATGTCACTGAGGCTGTAATATTTTCACATGGATTTGCTAGTGAGTAGTCTAATGACAGAATCCTCTGTGTAACACAAATGCCACAGAATTTTTGAATTTCTTAGTTATCACTGAGCTTGGTTATAAACGTAGAAACCCCTCGTTTAAAAAAAAGTACCAATTTTCAAATAAGAAATGCAAAAACTTTATTTAAAATTATATTATTATTAGCAATTGCAATTATGATGATTTATACTATTAGAGACACTTTCACATATCATTTGCTCTGTATATGTTCTTTATAATAATCCTCAGAACTCTGCAGAAAGTATTTGGACATCATTCATTCTGTTCACTGTTCCTGTTCATGAGAAGGACAAAAGTGCAGACTGCTTTTTGAGACAAATGGACAGGTAGTTTGTGGAAAAGTCAGGTATTTGCAAAAGACAGGTGTATCCTGAAACTCAGAAGACCAAGAGGTGATGCACAGGGACTCAGAAGTCACCAGCATAATTTATGCAAATGATTTACATTACTGTGAACAGCGCAAGAGTTACAGAAACTTGACAGCTGGACAAGCAGGATGCTATTTTAAGAGTCAAGCCAACAGGTGGCCATCACCTGGGGTTCAGGATGCAAGCATGTTAGAGCAGCACATTTCCATCTTGTCAAGGAGAAGAACTAGTATTTAACATCAAAGTGTCTTGTGGACGACATGCTACTTGTTATGTTTGTATCTGTTCATTGAGAAATACGTAATAATAAAAATCTGTTAGTTGGGAAATACATAGCAGTAAAGATCAACTAGGAATCAATAGAGTTTTGAAATGAATTTCTATTTCACTCTTTCTAACAGTACTATGCCAGTTCCCAATTTATTGCCCCTTAGTTTCAAATTCCCTCTGTAGCTGCTCTACAAACATGGTCTGGACACTTAGCCTTCATGGTGAGCACAATGACAAGCTATGTTCGTCGAGACCCCTGGAACAACTTGGCAGGAGGAAGGGAGCATCTCCTGGTTCTGGTGTGCTGCATTTTGCTTTGTCTTGCTCCTGCTACATAATTGGTCAGCGGTATCATGTGTGGGGCTACCCAGTAGAGCCCTGTACCTGCCATTGACCTAAAGGTACCGTACCTCAGTGCTGATTTAGCCTGATCCTGAGCCTGTGACCACATTCTCATGTCTTGCAAGGCAGGCACTGCCTACTCCAGTCCTTACACCCCCAAGGGTGGCCTGGTTCTGTGCACCTTCCTGGACTGGCAAGCAATAATATTTTCTGACATGTGGTGGAGTATAAACACATCTTCTCTAACAAGATCTAGATGCCATACACTGGGAGGGAAGTTGTCCTGGGGACCTCTCCCTCAATCCTAGGATACCCTTTAAAGTTTTCCTTACATTTTCATAGCTACTCCTCTATAATCATTTAATAGTTTTCTTTATAGTAAACTTTCTCTGTTTTACATTACCACGTGGTTTTTGGCTCTTGATTGTACCTGGACTGATAGAAGTTCATTTGGAAAAAATATGGCATCACATGTGAATGAGATATTCAATCTATGAACAGTGTTTGGTAGAGTATCACATCATCATTACAAGTCTATGAAAGGATTCACCTGTCCCTTGCAACTACTGCCTATAACCTCACATGTGTTCATAGTCACCAGGATAAGAAACCTGAACTAGAACTGGACAGGCTGGCAGGGGAAAAGGCACAATTATTTACATGGAAATGGAGATGAACAGTATGGGAAGGAGGAAACTGTGTTAGGGAGTAGGTTGGCATTTAATGGCCACCCTAGTCTCCTCTTGATCCCAACCTATGAAAGTTACAAAGACTTAGTCTGCCATCGATTAAGGAGGCAGCAAAAAGGGGACTAGAACTATTCTCAGTCAATACTGGGTCAGAAACTGGCTTGGGATGGAGCCTAAACATAGGTGAAATGGTTGAACTGTGAAAGTTATAACCTCATCAGTATATTAATCCACTGGTACGAATTAACTGGACAGTAACTGGGCAGGTAGGGTGTGGCTGGAGGGTGGGTCACTGAGGGTATGATTTTGGGACTTACATTTTGTCCCTGGAGAGCAGAGCTCTCTGCTTCCTGATTGTCATGTCCTGAGCAACTTGTCTCTGCCATACCATTCTACCATGATGTTGGGCCTCACCTGGGGCCCAGAGCTGTGGAGTCCACTGACCATGGACTGAAAACCATGAGCCAAAATAAACTTTTCTTCCTCTCTGTTGTTCTTGTCAAGTGTTTTGGTCAAAGGAAAAAAAAAAAAAAACCTAACTAGAACAGCTAGGGAATTAAAGGGCAGAGATGATAGCAACACTCATTATACACCTGT